GGAGGACCATCACTCAGTGGGTGGGAGGGTCACTGTGGTATTGGAGAGGCCTGTGGGGTTGGCGGGAGGCAGGTGCCAAGCCGGGGGCAGGGCACTCAGAAGTGGGCAGCCCTTACGAGGACAAGGACAGCATGAGGGCTTAGCTGATGGGCCTGCAGGTCCAGGAAGGGGGTTCAGGTAGGGGGAGAACTGTGAGTGGTGTCCACAAGCAGCGGGTAGGAGCTGGCAGATGAAGAGGGGCTAGTGGCCATGTGAGGGGGACGGGGCCGGGAAGCGCGCTCCCCTGAGGTGGCGAGTGACAGCCTAGGGCTCAGTGGTGGCCTAGATTGGAGGGACGGTGCACAGCAGTGTGGGAGGACCTAGGAAGGAGGTGGTCCAGACCTCTGGACTCACCCTACTCCAGGCTCAAGGCAGCAGCCAGCTGGAGCCAGAGAGCAGCCACATGTTCTCCTGGAGGGAGACGGGGGCACCCAGGCTGCCGTCTTATACCTGCTGCTGCTCCAGCCCTGCCCCAGCCTGGCTCCACAGTCACCTTGCAGTCGGCTCAGCCCAGGAGCTGGGCTGGGGCCGGGGCAGCGCTGGGGTCCAGGCTGGCCCCAAGGCTTGCTGGCTGTGTGTCCTCGGGGTGCGGGGGTTGGTGGCTAGTTTAATCCTAAGCCTCCTTCCTCGTGCATCAAGCAGGATAAGCCCAGGTCACAGGATTAAGGGTCACGGCGATGGCCTGGCACACACTGGGGCCTCAGCACACAGCCTCCGGTCTCCCTTGGGCGTCCTGGAGTGAGCGTCTAGCACAGGCCCGAGAGCCCGTCCCTTTCTCTGCTGGACGAGCTCGGCAGCTGGAGCGTAGGGTAGGATGGGGACCAGAAGCCTTCACCAGCACTCCCCCTAGGTGAGCTCGCCCGGAGTGACAGGGATTGTGGTCACTGTCCTGACTGTGCTGCAGGCCCCAGGACCTGTGGGTGTTTTCCCTGGTGGTGGCGGGTGGCAGAAAGGCCCTTGGTATTACAAGGGGCCCATGACGGTGAGAACCCAGAAGGACACAGCTGAGAGCAGGAGCTGATGCCGCGGGACCCATTCTTCCAGAAGCTACTGGAGGCCAGGGCACCGTGGGGCAGTGTAGGTGGCTGTTGGTAGGGTGGCGGTGCTGCCAGTCCACGGACCCCCGTGTGTCTGCCCTGGCTGCCCAAGCGGCTTTTGGTGGGCTCCTTAGGGCTGGGGGCTGTGCAGACTCAGACCCTGCTCCCAGGTAGAGGAGGAACCAGGGAGCCAGAAGGCCGGGTTGGTGGAGCAGGTTCCTGGGGACCCGCCTCCCTCACCCAGCCCCCACCAGCCTTCCTGGGGACTCCACTCAAAGGGAGCACTGAGTGAGCTGGTGGGTCTGCCTCTCTCCCAGGAAACTGGGGCCACTCTACTGACTCTTGGGAATGCTGCCTCTCCTGCTCACTCCCCTCTCACTGGTCATCCCCTTGCCCTGTGTGTGGGCTCCGAGGTCAAGACTAGATAAGCCAGGGTGGACAGGAGTCTAGGACCCACAGAGCCAGCAGGACCAGCCAAACCAGACCAGAAAGGTGGGGCTGAGGTGACCGATGGGGAAAGAGAAGGGCAGACACATTTATTCATCCATTTATTCACTTGCTCGAGGAGCACTGACAGGTCCTTGGGAGTGCAGTGTGAGCAGGGGAGGTGCTCTGGCCTGAAGGCAGATTCCCATGCAGGTCAGGGTCAGGGCTTGGGGTTGGCATTAGCTGCTGGCAAGGGCATGGTCTTGGGCAGTGCCTGGACCTCGGAAGTGGGATAGAAGGGCAAGGGCACCATCCATCCATCCATCCGTCCTTCTGTCCATCCATCCGTCTGGGGCCTCCTGTGTGCCAGGCCCAGGGCTGGGCACTCACATCCACAGCCTCATTCATTCCCACGAGGTCCCAGCTCGGTGGGAATAATCACCCCCATTTTATCAACAACACTGCTGAGGCTCAGAGATGTGAATGACGACCTCCTGGCCCCCCTGAGGGGTAGCATCCATCAAAACTCGCTGCAGGGGGGCATGAAAAAGGAAGGGGCACCTGCATCGCTTTCCCCCTCTTTCAGAGCTGTGGAACTATGAACAAAGCATGTGTTCCTCACAGCAAATCAGACGCTACAGGGACATGAAGAGTAGCGGGCCAGCCTCCCCTTCCCGCATCTGGCAGCAGGGCCACGGCTCTGTGCTGACACCCTCCTGATACCTTCGGGCAACCAGGCCAGACCGGACACTCTGTGCTGGTGTGCGCTTCCTGCTGCAGATGCCAACCCAACAGTGTCTCCAGGGCAAGGCCTGCAGCTCCAGCTCCTGCCCAGTTGTATTCCAAGGTGAATATATGATAGGAGGTATTGCCACGGCAGAGTAAGCAGCCGCTCCTGAGTGGCATTCAGACGGCTGCCAGATTTGAGAGGCCACAGAGAGCCACAGGAAGAACCCGAGCATCTATCGATATTGACGAGGCCCTCATTTCTGTTGGAGAGATCCCCGAAGTGGGAACACCCACTGCCTTGGCAGCAGTCTAGGACCCACAGTCCTGACGGGGGGACACGCCCAGGGTGCCTGGTGTCCCTCTGCCCTCCTCCCTCTGCTGTTCCACCCACGGCCCGGCACCCAGACGCGGCACCAGACGCCCTGGCTCCGGACGCCCTGGCTCTGGCCCTCGTGGCTTCCCAAACCTCTGGTTCCAATTTTCTCCTTCTAAGCTTTCCTGACCCTAAGCCCTCATAATTATTTAACACGCTAAGATTCTTCTACGTTTATAAACCCACCTTCCTGGCTTCCCCTTCCCAGGCTCGGAGGTGCAGAGCCTCTCAGCTGGTGGGAGAAGACACTGCAGGGGGTGTGGTCGGTGGGCCAGGAGACAACCAATTCACCTCTCTGTGCCTCAGTTTCCTCATCTGTCAAAGGGGCTTGATAATGGCTCCTCGCCTACCTTGCAGGGCTGTTGTGGAGTGCTCAGAACCATGACCACAGGGAAAGTGGACAGATGGTCGTTTCTATCCCCTTCGACACTGTCTGCACAAATTTCCCGGTTTGACGTTCATTGAGTCCCCTTTGTTCTGCAGTGCCACACCCTTCCCACTAGGGGGCCCAGCCCAGCCTTAGTTGAGAGCCTTCTCTGTGCTCCCTGCTGGGTTCCAAGGGCAGCAGAACCCTGTCTGTGGGATGGCGGTGGGGGGCAGCAGGGTCCCCGGGACTGGGGGCAGTGTGATGGGTGTTGGGCTCGGACCAGGTGAGGGTGGAGGAAGGAAGGACAGATCAATGCAGGAGGCAGCTGTAAGCTCCCCCACACCGCAGCTCGCCCAGCTCCTGCTGGATCCCTGCTCTCAGTGACCCCAGCCCACAGGCGGCCAGGCAGGGCTCTGCTCCATCACCCACTGGGGCAGGGGAGCGGCAAGGGAGGACCGATCCTGTGGCTCCTTCCAGCTCTGCCCCAGGACACCACCTGACCCAGGACAAAGGGCTTGCCCAAGTGAGTAATGACTGCTTCCCAGGCCTCTCCCACTGAGTCAGGAGGTCAGAGCCCATGGCTGCCTTTCCTCCTAGCCAGCGTCAGAGGTCTCCAGGGGCCCTGCAGCCAGCTCTCGGTGGGGATGGGGGTTGGTCACTTCTCTGAGGCTGACTGCTCCTGGGGGTCCTGCGGGTGTGGGAGCTCAGGGGTGGGTTCTGACTTCCTCCCAGCCTCCCCCAAGGGCTCACACTTGATTGGGCCTCAGGGGCAGAGACATTCTGGTCCTGGTCTGCTGTCTGGGCTGAAACTCAACTAGCCACTCCTTAGGGTTCATCTTCTTCCTGTCTCTTGGCCTGGGGTGAGGCCGATGCTCCCAGACCCTCTGGGGAGTCCAACCCAAGTCTGCCTGAGGACCTCTGCCCCGGCTCCCCCAGGATGTCCTGACTCCTTGAGCTCCCATGTCATCTTGGAGAAAAGCTCTCAAGATGGAATTTCCAGCACAGGCTCCCCTGACAAGGGCCAGGCTTTGCAGCCAAGGGCTTCTGGGTTCCAAGAGCAATCCCACCACATGGGGATTTGCCACCATCCTGCCCACTTGGGTCGGGCCAGCTTGAGGGGGGTCCTCAGACCCTCCACAGACACCAAGGCTGTGGGCACTGGCCAGGTGAGGAGGCCTCAGTGTGACCCCGGGCACAGGGATGTTGCACACCCTGCCGAGCCTCACTGGAAGGAGGGCCGGGGTTCCCTGGGCCCCTCTCTCAAGGATGGCCAGTGCTGGGTAGACCCTGCTTCCCAGCCTGTCCAGGGATGGGGCTCACCTAGGGTGGGGGACGTTTAAAGACCAACGATTCTTGGGTCCCTGGGGGTACCAACGCCCAGCCGCATTGGGGGCACCTGAGGGCCACTCCCAGAGTCAAGGCGGGAGCGCTTGAGCTGGTGCGGAGTTCCTGCTCTCTCCTCGCGGGCAGTCAGGGAGTTGGAGGCCCGCGGAGACCTTCGGAGCCAAGGCCGGCTCACCGCGCACTCTTTCCGCCGGGATCCTGCTGCCGCCCGGCCTGGACAGATGTCATCCGGCGCGAGGGTGCAGACCGAACCCTGGGCGACGACCGGCGGGAGCGCGGCCCTCCTCCCCCCTTCCCCGGACCCCGCTTCCCCGCCCCCTCCTTTTTGGCACCCCACCTCCTCTTCCCCCTCCTTCCTGGGACCTCGCCTCCCCTCCCCCTCCTTTATGGGACCTCACCTCCTCTTCCCCGTCCCCTCCCCTCCCGCGGGCCCCGCCCGCCCCTGCCGAGCGCCGCACGGTCCGCGAGAGGGCGCCCAGCTCCGTCCCGAGGTTACGGTCCCGCCCGCCGCTCCCCAGGGCTGCCCGACTTAGGTGGGCGAACGCCCTCCGGCGCCGGGCAGCAGTTTGCCCCGCTCCATAAAGGGCGCGCCCCGCCGGGCCTGCTGGGGCTGCAGACCAGGCCTCGGGCGGCCCACCGCGCAGCTCCCTTCCCTCTCGCCCCAAAATAGCTCTTGGGTCAGCAGTCGTCCGACCAAATATAACTTGACCTGCCCGTCCCGCCCCCGTGCCTGCCAGTCCCAGGCCCTGCGCACAGACCATCGCCCGGGTGGGGAATGGGGTAGGTCAAGGGTTTGACTGAGCAAGAAGAGAAGGACCCCTCGCCAGACCCAGAACCGACTCTGGTGCTGGAAGGGCTGCAAGGCCTCTTTAGGCGAGCCACCCGCCCGGCTGCTAAGCGCTGCCTGGACACATGGGCCTGGCACTCCTCCCTAGGACAGCTGACGGGGACAAAGGCCTTTCTCACATGGCCCTCACCTGACCCCAGGGCTGCCAGGAAGGTGGGGCACGTCTCCCTTCAAATCAGTGTGTCTTGGCTGACGGAGGACCGCCCACAGACAGCACACTTTGCCAGACGCCCTCATCCTTGGACAGAGGAGGGGCTGAGCTCTCCCACCAACGCCAGCCACCTCTGGGAGGTCAGTCCCCACCAGCCTTGAAAAGGAAAGGTCTTCACCTGGGAGCCAGGCCCCATGGTGGTTGGGGGAGGTCAAGAGTCCTCTTGCAGACAGTCCTGGGGGTGACTGATGGGGTCTCAGGGAGAGCACAGGGTAGGTGGGGTGTGTGGGGTGGGGGGGCAAGGCGGGGGGCTGTGCTTCTCAGAGCCTTGTCCCTGAATGGGGCTGGGAGGGGGGCTTTAGAGCAGACCCCAGAGGGTGACCAGGAGTATGGGGGCCAGGGCCGGGGTCCCCAGTACGGCAAGGCCGGCGCCATTACAGAGGTCGTACTGGCAGCAGGAGGTGGTAGACGCATGCTTGGAGTAGCCATCGTACACAGTCTCGAAGCAGCTGGGCACACACGACTTGCTCACCTTCATCCTGGTTGGGGTGTAGTCTGCAGAGGGGCAGGGCAGTGGGCTGGGATTCCAGGAGGGGCCAGACCCCAGCATGCAGGGCCTTTGGGCAGGTTCTCCCCCTGCCAGGGGCTGCCAGAAAGGATCCTGGGGCAGGTGAGAGCCTCCCTCCCCAGTCTACCCTACCCTCCAGGGGCAGGGAGGAGCACCCCTTCAGTCTCCCAGGAAGGGGTGGGGGCACCCCGCCGACTCACAAGTGCGTGTGGTCATGCAGTAGGTGACCATGGCCGGGCAGCGCATGGGGTTGAAGCAGTTCTCCCCGTTGTAGGCACACACGTGGCAGTCCAGAGCCTGGGCTGGGGCGAAGGTGGGGGCACGGGGGTCACAGAACAGGGAGAGACCCCTCCTCCAGCCCCTCAGATCCCCAGTCCTATAACCTTCCCCAGGGAAGAAGAGCTGGCAGGAGATGTGGTCAGCGGGAATTCGGCCTCCCTCCCCACTTACAGCCTGCCTGCCCCCAGATATGAGTCTCTCCACCTCTCCATCCTCCATCCATCTTACCCAGAGGTAGGCCCACCAGGGCCACCAGGAACAGGGCGAGCAGGGGCGCCATGGCTGGAGGCGAGAGGGTAGACTGGGAGTGGGGAGGCGGACAGCAGCTGGTCCGGGATGCAACTCAGGCAGGGGCTGGGGCAGGGCGCAGAGGGGGCTGGCCAACCCCCTGCCCTCTGAGAGCTCCTGCTCTACTGGAGGCGCTGCTGCAGCCCTGCACAGAGGGGGACAAGGACAGGTGGTCACTGCAGGGCCTGAGGGACCCACAGGGGGCCTGGGCAGGGGTGCCAGGGGCAGAGGAGCCACCCAACTCAGCATGGGCGTCAGGGAAGGTTTCCTGGAGGGGACATGAGATGAGATGATAAGGGAGGAGGGGTGGGACATTCCAACCAGAGAGACCAGCACCTGCAAAAACAGGAGACCTGTGCAGACTGAAGGGGGCAGTGCCAGAGGAGGGTGGGCAGGGTCCAAGGAAGGCCAGGGAGGCTGGAGGGGCCTTGAGTGCCAGGCCAAACCCCACACTTTACCCAGGGGATCGTTCACGCAGGGCCCTATGGGAGCTTGGCACACAGCCCCCTCCCCACCCAGGACCCTGGGTACAGGGTGCCTGGCCAGGGCTGGGCCCAAGGGTGGGTCTCTTCTCACTGCTCGCCCTCCTCTTTGCTCCTGGGGTGTCCCTGCTTGGGTCCCCACTTCCTGCTACTTCCAGGCTCAGCTAAGGGCCTTTCTCCCAGGAAGATCTCCAGAGCCCTCCCTACGGCTCTCAGGTCTGAGTCCTGGGCCACTGCGGGAGCTCCTGGCAGCGATGAGCTCCATCCAGCCTGTGGGGAAATGCGCTTTGAATGCATCCCAGGAGGGCACCTGGGAAGACAGCAGGGAGGGCTTTCCAGACTGGATCTGGTGTTTGGAATGGAGATGCCACTCTCCTGGAAGAGGTTTGGGGGAAATCTGGACTATGACTCTCCTCCCGCCGCGGGATCTCCCGTCCGGGTCCCTTCCCCGCGGGAGTTAGACTCCCCCGCTTCCCGAGAACAAAAACCCATCTTCCACGGCCCATTTCCCAGGCGTCAACCTCGGGATGCCGAAGGCCTGAGTAAGGCCGGGCCTGCGGCCCCAGCACTTCCCGCCCCCTCCTGGGGAGCCCCGCCCCAAAGACTGCGGTCCCAAGTTGGAGAGGGGTGTAGCGGTGACCTCAACTGTGACCTTCACCACTGAGCCCCCGCTGCGCCCGGGACTCACCCGCGGCCGCTCGCCGGGCCCTCCCCCGGCCTGACAGAGCGTCCGTCCGTGCCCCGCAACCACCGCGCCGCACCGCCGCCCTGCGGCCTCCACCTGCCGGAGCCGCCGCCGCGCCTGAGCTCCCCGCAGGCCCCGCCCCTAGCCCGCCCTGGCTCCGCCCAGAGTCCGCCTTGGCCCCGCCCATCCCCGCCCCCGCCCGCGGACTCCTGGCGTCCCGACGCTCCGACGCAGAGAGCCAGCCACGCCCAGACACGTACGCCGCCCTGCGGTGACACCCACGCAACCCTCAGACGCCGAGTCACCTAGTCGCCCCACATCCCCTCCCAGTCATTTCTTCGGCCCGGTTCCGCAGGGGTGCTGCGCGGAGCAGCCCCAGGGTGCGGTGACCGTGGACGGGGCTCCCTGTGCAGCCCGCCTGCGTGGTCGTGTCCCCGCGCCTCCGTAGCCCGCAGCATCTCGGGGCCTCGGTCCCCACACCTGGTGCACCCTACACAGTGTGAAAGCCAGCCTTGAAAGGATCCCATCGTTTCACAGACCCCTCCCACCACAATATCAATATTAAATAATTGTTTTTTACGTGACTTTAGTTCAACATTTAGCTTTTGTTCTGTTTTAGGCAAAATTTAAGATTTTCATGGGCCCTAAAAATTTCATTCTTTTTCTAATATGAGAAAGAAAATACATTTTCTTTGATCCTAAGAGTTCTTTTTTTTCTCTCTCTCTATCAGAGATGAACCATTTTGGGGCCCTAGGCCCTGAACCTCCAGAGCCGAGAGGGCAGTCTCGCCAGGCAGACTGGGTGCTCGGTCCCCGTCTGCCAGATAGTCACTGCGGTGCCCCCTGTGCAAGGAGTTGGGGTAACTGTCGGAATAAAGCTGACGAACGTTTCCAATATCCTGCCTACGTGGGGCTCACGCTCTAATGGGCAGAAAATAAATGCATACGTCAAAACCACAGTATGTCATGGGCTTCAGCATCAGACCGTGATGAACTGGTGGGAACTGGATTTACCGCCATGCCTTAAACAACTAAAAAACAGCAGAAAATAAACGAAGCATCTCTTTGAGACATTGCATGGCAGGCAGCACAGGGCAGTGGAGCTGGAGTGAAGGGAAACAAATGGTGGAGCTACAGGGCGCAGTGCAGGGAGGGCAACCCAAACGGAGCCCGGAGCCCGGAGCCCGCGGTCCCCCTGACTGAAGAGACAGAGTGAGGAGTGCGGGGAGGCTGAGGCAGCTGGAGTTCACAGGGCAGAGCATGGGAGAGAGAGCTGGGTCTCCAGAGGATCCCCGAGTCCTCAGGGAGTCCCATTAGTGCACACATTGGAGGAACCTACCCAGAGATGAGGAAGGAACCGGCGAGAAGGAGGAAGCCAAACCGTTCCCAGGGCTCACACGGGGCTGGGAGGAGTTCAACTGAAGTGAGAAGAGAAACCTTGAAATGAAAGGGTGGGCCATGGGGCAGAGTGCTGTGAAGGGACCTGCCTCAGTCAAGGCACCAACTCAGCCGTAGATTAAAGACTACACCTGGTCCCACCTAACAAAGCTTAAAACAAAGCCTTGAAAGAGTCCAATCGTCCCCAAGTAACTTAATTGCATCCTAGGACAAAGCTCAAAATTATTTTTAAAAAGAACATAATCCAGTACCCAACAATGTAAAAATTCATCCAGTTAAATGTCTGACACCCATCTGAAAACACCACTGGGCATGCAAAGCAGCAGGAAAATGTGACCCACAGTGGGGAGAAAAAATCATTAGAAACAGACCCACAAATGACACAGATGATAGGATTAGTAGGCAGGGACATTAAAACAGATATTATAAGCATGTTTCATATATTCAAGAAGATAGAGGAGAGCACAAGTATGTCAGGGGAGCCATGGGAAATAGAAAAAGACGTAATTGAACTTCTAACGATGAAAAATAGGTCTGAGATGAAAAATACACTGGATGGGATTAACATTGGATTAGACTCTGCAGATAAAAGATGAGTGAACTTGGAGATAAAACATCAGAAACTACTAAAAAAGAATCACAGGAAAAAAAGACTGAAAAAATGAGCAGAGTGTCAGGCAGCTGTGGGACAATTTCATGTGGCCTAACGTGTGTAATTGGAGTCCCACAAGGAGAGGACAGGAAGAGGGGAAAAGAAAACATTTTGAAAGAAATAATAGCCAAAATTTTTCCAAATTTGGTGAAAACTGTAAGCCTATTGAACCCAGAAACTCAATGAACTCCAAGCACAAGAAATAGGAAGAAAACTACACTGAAGCACATCACCATCAAATAGCTTAAAACCAGCGATAAAGAGAAAACACTAAAGGCAGACACTACGTAATGCACAGAGGGTCGAAGGTAAAGATGACAGCAGATTTCTTGTCAGAAACAGCACAAGGCAACATAGTGAAGCAATGTTTGATATACCAAAAACAAACACCAACTATTCAGAATTATATACCCAGCAAAGATATCTTTGAAAAGTGAAGGCGAAATACAGCGTTTTTCAGACAGGCAAAGGCAGAAAGAATCACCCTCCAGCAGACTGGCACCATGAGAACTGTGGAAGGAAGGCCTGTGGGCACGGGGCAGACTGCGTCAAATGGAGACACGCATCCACATAAAGGGATGAAGAGCGCCTGAAATGGGAAAGAGGAAGGCATTGTTTCTTATTTTTAAATTACTTTAGAAGACAATTGACTGCGTGAAGCCAAAGTGATAACAGGATATTATGGGGTTTCTAGCAAATGTGGAAGCAGATCATATGATACAGATGGGCCAGGAGCAGGAAGATGGAGGTGCACTGTTGTAGGTTTATCGTACGGTGTGTGACGTGGTATATTTCTGGAACATAGACCACAAGATGTTAAAGATGTGCACTGTGAACACTAAGGTAACCACTGAAAAAAGAAAGAGGAAGAAAAGAAAAATCAGAGAACACTACCTAGCAAAGCAACAAAGGAGAGAAAATGGAACCATACAGAATTAATCTGTCAATCAAAGAGAAGGCAGAAAAAGAGGGAAAGTGAAAAAGAACAGGTGGGGCAAAGAAAAGGCAAATGGCAGGATGAGAGATTGAAACCCAACTTGCCAATAGTCACACTAAATGGGCCAGACACCCCAATTAAAAAGCAGAGGCTGTCAGATTGGATAAAGAGAGAGAGTCAAGAATATCCTGTCCTCCAGAAACCCACTGTACATATTAAAACACAAATAGGTGAGAAATCAAAGGACAGAAAAGCTAGAGCATGCTAACGCTAATTAAAAGAAAGCAGGAGTAACTACATTTAACATCTGATGAAGTGGGTTTTAGAGCAAAGACTATAACCAGGAATAAAGAGGGACATTACATAACGATAAGGGGTCAGTTCATTAAGGGGACACAGCAATCCTAAATGTTTATGTACTTAACAGTGGAGCTTCAAAATACACAAAGCAAAAACACCTGAGAGAACTGAAAGGAGAAAAGGGAAACCCACGATTGGAGTCAGAGATTTCAACACTCCTTTCTCAATGACTGATGGAGGACACAGACAGAAAGGAATGAGGACAAAGGAGACTTGAACAACATTCCCAGCCAATGTGACCTGCTTGATATGCAGAGAACACGCCACCCAGCAGAAGGAGAACACATTCTTCTCAAGTACACACAAAACATTTACCAATATAGACCATATTCTGGGCCATAAACCAAATCTCAATAAATTTATAAGGATTGAAATCATACTGGGGCCAGCCCAGTGGTATAGTTGTTTAGTTCATGCACTCCACTTTGGTGGCCCAGGGTTTGCCAGTTTGGATCCTGGGTGCTCATCAAGCCATGCTGAGGCAGCGTCCCACACAGAAGAACTAGAAGGACGTACAACTAGGATATACAACTACATACTGTAGCTTTGGGGAGGAAAAAAAAAAGAGGGAGACTGTCAACAGATGTTAGTTCAGGGCTAATCTTCCTTACTAAAAAACAAAAAAATCCAAAAGAAATCATACAAATTATTTTCTTGGGCTAGAAATTAGAAATCAAGAACAGAAAAATATCCAAGAGATCCCCAAATATTTAGAAACTGAGCAACAAATTTCTAAATAACCTGTGGGTCAAAGGAGAAATTTAAAAGGAAATTAGAAAGTATTTCCAATTGAATGAAAATGAAAACATAGTCTGTCAGAGTTAGTGGATGCAGCTACAGCAGTGTTCACAAGGAAAAGTTTTAGCACTAATGCTTGTATTAGAAGAAAAGAAAGGTCTCAACACAATGACCTATGCTCCTACCTTCAGAAACCAGAACAAAAAGTGCAAATCAAACCCCAAGCAAAATAAAAGAAATAATAAAAATAAGAGCAAAAAAAAAAATCAATGAAATAGAAAAGAAAAATAGAGAAGATCAATCCAACCTAAAGCTGTTTCTTTGCAAATCAATGTGATTTTTAACCCCCTGGCCAGACTGATCAGAAAGAAAAGAGATGAGCCACAACGCCAGTATCAGGAATGAGAAGCACCCCTCTCAGCTGCTCGGGTCCCATCCAGTTCCTGGTAGGAGGCATCAGAGGGCAGCATGGGCTGAAGGTAGGTGGCAACTTGAACCAGCATCGTGCAGGCTGCCAGTGGTGGGGTGGCATCCATATGCCACTATGCAATGCTTAGTCAGGCAGGCGGGGCTGTCAGACAGCTGCTCTCTTATCAGTGGTCCTCCTGTGGTCCTGCAAAACAAGCTCAGAAACTGGTTACTTTATTTCCCACATCAACCTTTTGCATAAGAGGCCAGTTTCACCCTGATCCAGAGAAAATTTTAGCTCCTCTATTCTCAGTTTCAATCCGCACTGTCTTACGATCATTCCTCAATCTTGGGGAATGGAGGTGAAGACCGCTCTAGCTACTTCCTGCTGTGAAAGAGTGAAGATCAGGGTTAGAGGAATGAAATTGTTGTGACTTTATTTAATTTAATTAATTAATTTACTTTTAAAGACTCTGCAAAGGGAGAGGAAGGAAACGGGCCTTCTTCTTCTTCTTTTTTTTTTAAAGATTGGTATCTAAGCTAACATCTGTTGCTAATCTTTTTTTTTCTTCTTCTCCCCAAAGCACCCCAGTACATAGTTGTATTCTCTAGTTGTAGGTTCTTCCAGTTGTGCTATGTG